GGGTTCAAGGCCAGGCTGGATGAGGCTTTGAGCAACCTGGGCTAGTGGGAGGTGTCCCTGCCCATGGCAAGGGGTTGGAACTCTGTGATCTCTATGGTCCCTTCCAACCCAAACCATTCTATGATTCTAGGATTTTTGTGGTGTGTGACCTAGCTGATGGCTCTACCAGTAACAAGGTATTCTTTAATATCCAGTCCTAAGCGTATTCTCCTCTTTTAAAAAGTTGAAGTTTATTAATCTAATCAATGGAGAACAGCTTGATACTCATTTAAAATAAAAAAAATTGATTGACCATGTAAATTGGAATTTATCTTATGTTTTACTTCCTTACTTCGTTTTGTTTGTATATTTACTTCTGACACTTTCCTAGCACAGATTAAAATAATCTGTTTAAGTTTTTTATTAGAGTAATATTTCAGGCTCTTAATTTTGCTAGCTGCTCTTGTTGCTAGGGAGCAAATGCTGCTGGCTCTGTGCTGCACAGAGTGCAATGTAGCTCTATATAACTTTAAAGCCTCTGTTAAGTACATAGTAATAAACAAGGAAAGACTTAACGTTGACTTAAAAGGTGCAAGAAAAATATCCTGCCTGACATTGTACAGCAATTCCAAACAATGATTCTATTTAATGGGCAAGTTCCTGAAATACATACTGGCATCCTGCTTTCCATAAAAAATCAGTTCCTAATCATGAAAGGAAGAAGATTCCGGCCTGTTACTGGTATAAGGATATGACACTAGCACCTGACTATACAGTCCACCCCTGGGAAGGCATTAGCCAGCTCTCAGTGAGAACAGATACACTTCTTTCCTAGTGAGACAGGTTTAATGCACAGCAACACATTCCAGCTGCCCATAACTACACACCAGCTTACCCATCTTGTGCGTGCTGCTGGGATACTGAGCCTGATGCTAGCACTGAACGTGGTTACTGGTGGAGTTTCCATACAGAAGTAAAATAGCATAGAAATTCATACCCTGGCTTCCAGAACTGTGACATCCATTCCAAAACTCTGCAACTGGCGAGCTGCTGCCAACCCAGAGACTCCAGAACCGATAATTATAACCTTTCCAGTCTTCTTGGCTAAAGAAAGGGAAAAATAAGCTACAGGCTCAATACATGCACTACGATATTGTAAGCGTTCACGTTAAAGTCGCATTTACGAGATACCAAGAACACAAAGCAGCTACCTTCTCATCAGTAGTTCTGACAGAACAAACTCTTTAACAAAACAAATAGCCACAAAAAGAAAATGGAAGCAATTATGTACATAATATAGTAAAACACTTATTTTTTTTTTTGTGAGATAGGTACAAGAAAAATACACCAGTAGAACATCTGTGACAAGGAAGAAAACAGGAGGAAAAATACTTCTGAAGGATAATTGTTTGAAGAAACTGATTCTTATTAATTACTGTGGGACAAATCATCCCAGATTTATTTCTTTCTGCCCCAAAAGAATAAAACCTAGAAAAGACAGGTTCAGCACTTGTAAAATTCAAGCATCATATCAGCATATAACAGATTTATGTACAGCATTGTGTTTGTCTTTTGTTACTCAAATGAGGAACAAGGATAAACCATTAAAACAATGAGAGTCACCAAATCACCTAGAGAAGATTTGCAAACATTTTCCCTATCAAAGTGGTTTACTTCAACCCATAGCTTCTCTGTGCCAAAACAAAAACCATGAACATCTATAGCCAGATGCCTCTATAGCTGGGATCTATAGCCAGCCTTTTTTTTTGTTTTCTCAGCACCACAATCCCAAAAGCAGCACTCAAAAACGTGTCCTAACAAATCACAGAACCATAAAACAACTCAATTAGAAACACTTCTCAAGTTTCTTACTTGGAAGGGGCTTCACTCTTTTGTAGATACCGAAGTTGATTAGACCATGCCGCTCCAGATAGCTGTGTACTCTGTGAACGAGCACCGTATCACCTAAAAAATTGTTTGAAAATCATTCAGTGTGCTCAGCAGCACATATGTACCGAAAACACATTCACAAGCAAACGTGTCACAGCAGCAACCCAGCAGAGTCACACTGAACACCCCTTTCTGCACCCCCAGCTGCCCTGCTGAAGAATCCATATTCTTGAAGAAGGTTGAGGTTACAGTTTTTTGGAAACCGCATGCTGCTTTTCCATGCTATACTGCAGTTTTGAATACTGCCTGGAAAGCTGTACAGGACATTAGCTGCTTCTATTTATCTAGTGTAGAAGAACACCTTTTCTGAAATTGACTGCAGAAATCCAGAGATCTTTACACAGAACTGTATGTAATGTGATTTGCCAGTCATAAACCAACCCACTACTGGAGGAGTGCTGAATTCTCATTTTTATGAACAGAATAATTCAGTATTTTCCAATAGTTGACAGTGTATCTGTGTTCATTTCAGCACTATTTTCTTCTTTAATTACTTTTTCTTTATGGCTCCCCTCCACCCTTTTCCAGTCTATCGGCATCTTTTTTGAGAATGGTGGAAGAGCCTTTGCAAGCAGTAACGCCTCACTCTTTTACTGCCTTCTTTCATCATGGCCAGTCTGTTCAAGTCTTATGCACCTTTTTAATGCCTCTCAGAAACCTTATGATTAAGAAAATCTCACAGCTGCAACAACCATGAAGTTGTATCAAATCTTAAAAGCTGCATGTGAACTCACTTGCAGGTAGCTTCTGTAGCAACCCATCTTAACAGCTTTTTTGAATTCTGCTAAGGATATATTTCTTTACCAGACAAATGATCTGTAACAAACCCGAGACATGAGCATACTGCAATATCCCACCATGTACACGAATGTTCACAGAGCTCCACTAACAAAAGGACCCATCTGAAATCCTCTCTTGATTCTGAGCAGGTTTTCCCCAGCCAAAACTGAAAAACAATAGCAATGACATGTACTGTACGGTTTTGGCAGGAAAAGACTTGACTTACTATTATAAGGTGCTTCTAGTTGTTGGATAGTTGCCTCAAATGTCAACTGAATCTTTGGGTTATCCAACCAGAGCTGCAGCTGTATTTAAACAAACAATAAGACAGGTTATATTAAGCAATGCAAAACAGGTGCTTTCCACATGCCTGTTTGTTACCAAATACTGAGAGGAGATGAAACCCTCTAACAAGTCAAACTTTGGCAGTGCTATCCGAGCTGCACTGAACTTCACCTTCAGTGTTCTTTAAGGTGCAATCCAGACCATTTTAACTTCCTACACCATTTCAAGCAAACAGAAATGCATCAAGTTAGCAACCGCCTAATGACACATGTAAGAAAACATGCACTGAAAGAACAAAAGCTACAAAAGGGAACTGCCAGAATGTTTCTATGTACAGCCCTCCCTCCACCTGCATGGCAATTATGATATGTGCGATACTTTAATTTTACACACAACACCAGCCAGCATCTGTCTTTTCGGCATCAAATTTCACATTATTTTTGTAAAAGCTACAGAAGTATTTGTCATCTTATGAAGTTTATTTATCTCAGACATTTCATCATCTAATCCATCTTCACTGACAGAGGACACTGCCATGGACTACACTGACCACAGATGCACAAGGAACATGTAGAGGACAGTTACAGTTCAAAAACCAAGCAGGAAGAGCTGCCTGTGAAATATTAATTATGCCACTTTGTGCCAGTAAAAACACAGACTAATAGAATCACAACTGTTTTCCCAACAGAACTCCTACTTCATGGCATGGATGGCAATAGTTAATAAATAACATTTACTGTTCAGTGCCTAGATCTAGGTCATACATAGCATCTGCACCACATTTTACGTTCCAGAATTAGTAATTTACTTTGGTATTTCTCTAGAATTGCATTACTGACCTTCACAGCTCCTCAAAGATACCAAATTAAAGTGGAAATCATACAATATAATCAATAGGAAAGATTAAGAAAGAATTTGCATATAATTTGGCAGGCTAATTTAATCTTCAGCAGAGTCGTTTCTTTTACTCATTTTCCAAGTAATTTTTAACAATATTCTTTCTGACCATTTCTGAGTGTGGAACTAACCATTTCACAGTACTATGGACCATAACGTTAAGATTCCATTCCCAGCTTGAAGAGTGCAAAGCCCATCATCTCTATTTTCATACATAAATCTCCATGTACATACATATTAATTCCATTATTCACATTAGTTTACTTTCATTTAAAATTAATTTCATCCAATATGTTATCACCCAGTTACTCGTAAGTCTTCATTTTTTGCAGTTTTGGTAGTCCTTATTTTACGACCTAAAATAACTTTGTATGTGCAGCAAATGATCGCTTCTCTACAAATTCTGATTTTTAGACCCTCTGTGAACACACAGAAATGTGCAGGCCTCAAAAGATTTTAAAGGCTTCAAACCACAACTGCCCTGCAGTTCCTGACTCCATTTGTTACAAGGCAAATTGGAAATAACAGACTTACTAGTCCAACTCCTCTGACCTCCAGGAACTCTGGGTGTTCACACCCTCTTCAATATTTTCAAATCCCTTGGTACCATGCAGCAGTAAGTAAGAGGATGCAGACTGCAGTTCACAGCTCTTCCAGAGCTCTGCTGAGCACTACATCCACACTGCCGTCTGCTTATCTCCTGCTGTATAACCTCTGCTATCCTGACCAGAGGAGATCCTCTCTCAAGACTTCCTCAGAAAGGAATTCCTGCTTCGGAATTTCTGGAGGTTCCTCCACAGTGAAAAAGGACCAAAGACCAACAACGCAGCTTTTCTAGTGCAGCCCTGCAAACACCCCTTCCAAGCATTCCTTTAAATCCCATTCATCTGTTAGTTTCAGTGAAAGCTTTTCTGCTTCTAATGTGTCTGTAAAAGGATCATTTACTATACATTTTGAGCAAACTATTTTTCAAACTTTTTGGCTTGCCTTGATCTGTTCTTACGCAACTGGAATTTACATTACTCTGCTTCTTAAGTTCTCTTCCAAGAAAACACATCTCATGACTTTCCAAAGGTTACAACTTTGGGTAACTAGAGGGAGATTTCACAGGAATAGTAAAAGTCACACTCTTGGCATGAAGATGTCCACCATGTATAAATATCAAATAACTTAAAGAAGTTATTAAGCACTGGGTGCTACCATGGTTAATACACTGTGATGCCCCTTGATCATCTTAAGTCTGTGAAAAAAAGTGAATGGTGCATAAAGTGTTTTCTCTCTTAACTACAGTAACAAAGCAATTTTCTAAATATTTCCTGCTTTCCTACTGTTAATTTTTCTAACATGACTTAAGTTTTCTATAACACACTTTTCTAAGTACAGGAGAAAGCCCCGAGAAACCATTTTTGGGTGCTGAGAAACCTAAAAGCATTGTCACAATTTAAAAGCATCATCTGCAAACTACGGTTTAACTTTATAAAGGTTTCAACTTCAGGCATGCTTGCCTGAACTCAAGTGAATGAACTCCCCAACGAATTATTTGAATATTGACCCTTCTTTCTGTATTTTAAATTGCATGGAAGTTTTGAATTGATCAGAAATGGTACCAACATACAAAAGCAGAGTTTCATTTTTTCAACATTACAATTTCTTCCATGAAACCAAAGCTAGCAAACGGTTCTGTTCTGAGCATAAGCCACATGACTGGTTTGATGTCTCAGTACTATAGCAACTGAATGCTAAGCAAAGTAAAAAAATAAAAGCCAAGAGGTTTGCCTTATTCTAAGCAACAAGGTACTTGACTGAAAATTATTTTTTAAGTATTCTACAGAGACTTCTTTAAGCTGAGATCAAATAACAGAACATTTGCACCAGCTTTCTGTTTGTTTACTTTTAAAAAGCTGTATTAGCTGAATCAAGTAGTTTTGATGGTTGTTATAACCATAGTATACTACAGATTCTTTATGCTGTCTTACAGCATTGCCCAAATCAAGAACTGGGTAACACCTTAACTAGCAACTTAGAGCATGACAGGATGCCAGAAATGAAACCCCTCCATCTGAAAACCAAAAAATCTACCAACTCTTAGACGTGATAACTGACAAAAAGTCTTTGCCAAGCACATGAACATCCTACCCTTTTTCATCAATACTTTTACAATAAACTTACGGTGCGGTTCCTGATGTACAGAAACACCTTCTGAGTCTGCTGTGGCCCACTGATTATATCAGGGAAGCAGGCAGCTTCTTGGGATGTCATACGGTCGTGTGGAAGTCTACTCTGGAAAGCTGCACCCTCCACACCTATAATAAAAAGACAAGTTGTCTTTAGGCACTGCAAAAGGAATTGCTAAGTAAGTATTTTTACACTACCCTTCCTAGACAGTGCGTCTAGCCATGAGGTGACATAGTGGCCAATTTCATGTCATGCTTTCATTCAGTCCTTTTATTTATTTCCGCAAAAAATGCAGCTTCTCAACACAACAGTTCTTTGAATTATAGGTATAATCTAGGGTTAATGAAAAAGTTATACTATGGCGGGGGGGGAGGACACAACAAACCAAACCAAAAAACAACCAAAACTGAAAAATAAGGGGAGCAGGAGTACAAATCTACATAATATATAATATATATACCATACATATATAATGTAATGTCAATAAAACATTACTGCTTTAGATGCCATCCTTCATTTATGTGGTTTCCAGTTTCTACCAGAAAAACATTCTGGAACCCATTCAAAGCCAAAAGATCTGTAAGATACAAGCACAATGCCTGCAGTCCCTTCTCACCCGCTTTTCAGGGTTTCATTTGCACTGAACTCCTCCAACTAGAGGAACCCATCTTAACCTCTCCTTTTGCATATTTTATATACTCGCAACAGGCAGTGCAATGGAAGACAATCCAACTTATGCTTTTCCTCTGCACCCTCCCCAAGCACTGCCTACAATCAACAACTACAGATTTCTGACTTTTCCTTTTAAATCATAGAAAGGTGCATTAATCATAGAATCATTAAGGTTGGAA